ATACAGTTACTTTGTTGAAATAAAGGGATTACACGGTACTTTCCTGTTTCATATGTTCGGCTATGCCCTCTCTATTTTTGGTTTCCACGCCCCAAACAAAACGAGGCTCTAATGTCTGTGTCTCAATCTCGCGGCCGCATGATGATAAGAAGGAATAAGTTATTCACAAAAATGATTTAATATGAAGGCAACAGGCAGAGTGTTACGGGCATTGCCCTAAAGCAGCGGTCCCCAACCCCCGGGCCTCGGACCGGTACCGGTCCGTGAGTCGTTTGGTACCGGGCCGCGAGAGTTGAGGCTCAGGTGTGAAATGTATGGTTTTCAGGGTTTTTATCGGTTTTCAGCGTTATTTTGTTATCGTTTTTATCGTTTACTCGGTTTTCCTGGGTCTTTTCACGTGTGTTATGAATAAATCTTTTTTTTGGTACCGGTACTAGTTTTATTTTGTTGTATTTATCCGCGACACCTTAAAGGCCGGTCCATGAAAATATTGTCGGGCATAAACCGGTCCGTGGCGCAAAAAAGGTTGGAGACCGCTGCCCTAAAGCATGCAGCCTGATGGAGCGTAGCCCGTGCTGCAGGGAGGATGGACCTGTGATGTGTCTGTGAGCGAGGAGGGAGAAAAAGGAAAAGTAGGAGCTGTCACCGAGCAGAAACGGGAGCTGGAAGCATGTAAATATAATAATAACCACTGCAGCCAAACAGAGTGCCTGACGAGCCCAGTTGTAAGTAAGCTGTTAAGACTCGACTGTACACTGTGTTCGTGTTTTCCTCTGAAACAATAAGTTCCGTTGAGCAGCCTTTCAACGCCTCTCTCTGTCTCTGCAGCAAAGTTGACCCACACAACAAAGTAAAGCTAGTTTTCGCTACGAGCCGACAGCGAACCCGACGTATAGCCAGAGGTCCCTTTACTACGGTTCGGAGCCGCAGACCTGTTTTATATACGCGAGGAATAGTTTCTACACGAGATCACTGTAACTTGCCTTACTATGTAATAAAGCATGATAATATATTAAGTAATCCAAAGTATTCAGAATACGTTACTCTCATTGAGTAACGTAACGGAATATCGTTACAAAATACATTTTGGCATTATGTAATCTGTAATCTGTAGTGGAATACATTTCAAAAGTAACCTTCCCAACGCTGCATATATATGAGAAACGGCAGCTCGGAGTCTGGTCCAGCCCTGGATACAAACAGCTGACTTCACAGGCTGTGACCTGAGCGTCCTGTGTGCCGACTGCAGCGGAGCTTTAGCTCATAATGACCCTTTAAAAGACGAGTGATGGAGGACAAACACCACCGTCCTTCTGTAGACTTTGTTGTGTCCCTCTGTGTTTTCCTGTCCCTCTCTAATGTTTTGGGCCTGATGAGGACCCCGAACACCAGAAGGTCAGTCAGTTAGCAAGGCTAAAGCTAACAAAAAAGGTTGCATTAACAATAAAAACACTGAAGACTATTTCTGCTTATTCTGTTACTTTTCCTCCAATCAGCACTCATATGCTGGTTAGCTGGAAGACTTAAAGTGAGCACTTAGGTTATATATCCAAATGCTTCACTCCGTGTAGCCACGTACCTGCACAAACAAACTCTAGAGCCAGGCTAGGGCTAACACATGGTATCATGCTAACAGACCCCAAATAACAACAACAACAAATGTTCTTAAATATCTGTGAACCTGTGTACCCCCTCTCTGCCTCCAGTAATATTTCTGTTTATATTTATACATTTGACAGCTTAACGTTGACTACAGTGATGGCTGTGCTGACAGATCTGCTGCAGCTGGATAATCCACGTTGACAGTAACTGTGTGAAAGGTGCACCTGCTGGCTACATACATGATGTACTGATACAGACTGAAGCTAAAGCTCTAAGGTTCAATCATGACAACATGCTAACACAACGAACATAAGCTAACAAGTTCAGAATCATGAGTCTGTGTCAGAGCAGTGAAGCTAAAAGGTCAGAGGTCATGAGATTATGCTAACAGGCTGCAGTTTCATTTTTGTGGACAAACACGTTAGCAGGTCCTGGTTAGGCAGCAGCAGCACCAGGACCCCTGTTTGCATGTATGTGTGATTGTGTGTGTCTTACCATCATAGTTGACTATAATGATGGCCAACATGTAGTCCTTGCCCATCATGGCTCCGCCCTCCAATACGTGTGTTCCAATCAGCTGATCACCAACACACACATACACACGGGCCCAGAGGACGGTTGTTAACGTCTTCTCCCGTTCGCCTCTCTCTCTGTCTGTCTGTCTCAGTGTCTCTCGTTCCTCCGGCTGTCGCTCTCTCCGACGACACCATCAGTCTTCTTCTTCTCCTCCTTTGTGCTTGCCCAGCGTTTGTCTCTCCCTCTCTCTCCCTCCTCTCTGCCTGATAAACGATGCTGCTTGTCCTCCTCTCCTCCCTGTCCTCCCTCTCCCTGACTCTCCTCCTCCTGCTGATGTCATCACTCCCCTCCCTCTCCTATCTCACCCTTCACTGTAAAAAACTCAGTGTTACTACTGTGGTCGCGTTCACATAATGTCTGGTAAACAGTCAACTCGAGGCACTTCATATTGTACAGTAGACCCTACAATAACACATACAGAGAAAAACCCAACAATCATATGACCCCCTATGAGCAGCACTTTGGCGACAGTGGGAAGGAAAAACTCCCTTTTAACAGGAAGAAACCTCCCAGAACCAGGCTCAGGGAGGGGCGGGGCCATCTGCTGTGATTGGTTGGGGTGAGAGAAGGAAGACAGGATAAAGACATGCTGTGGAAGAGAGACAGAGATTAATACTCCTCCAGATTTGGAGGTCTGATTCTCATTCCCACTGTTTCACACTCGGCTGCAAACCGTTCCAGTGCGAGCTGGAGGCCATCACTCCATGAAGCCAACAGAACCACATTTTTTACAAAAAAACAAAGAAGAGACTCTGAGACCACCCAGTGAAGCCTTCAGACACTTCACTACGCCTAGACGTTCTGTCCATAAAAGTTATGAAGAGAATCGATGACAGAGGGCAGCCCTGGCTGAGTGCAACACCCACTGGAAACCAGTCTGACTTATTGCCGACTACGCGGACCAAAGTTGTATTAGGATGGCCTGCTTCAGAGACAGGGATGATAAATATGAACAAGTATCTCTGCCTGGTTTTAGACATCCAGCAGTTAATGTCATCAGTGCAGCTGACAGAGGTCAGATCATAAGATCATCTGCACGGAACAGCAGGAGATGTTGTGGTTCGTTATGATTGTACCAAGTGGGAGCATGTAGAGGCTAAAGAGCAGTGGACCGAGGTCAGAACCCTGAGGGACCCCTGACTGGAGTGTGATTACTTTGACCGTTAGATATGGTGACAGGCAATTCATTTTGTTTGTTTTCAAATCATTTGCTGAGAAATGAAAGATTATAAATGATTAATTATCAGTGGCTCTAAGAGGTGTGACACAGATGTGACAGGTTGGTGGGGTCGAGTACAGAGACTGTAACTGATGAGGAACTTCAGGTGAGAAAGTTTAAAAATGGTCTTGTGGAGTTGAACCTCTATTTCCTGGATCAAAGTTTCACTTTTCACTTCACTAACGGGAGCACGATACACGGTTATTAGTTTGACTTTCACAATAAAATACTCCAGCGATCAACTAATGACTGCATCCAGGTTCATTAGTTTGTTTACAGTCTCTCTTTATTTCAGGCTCACTGCGTGTCTCACTACGTCATCATATCTGTGACACAGCGGCCACGTGTCCCGGAAATGTTTGTAATGTTGGGAGTTCGTGAAGCTCGAGACATTTCAAGATACAGAACCATTTCCTTTTCAAAGTAAAAGCCTTAACATTAAACGTAAGAACATGTTTAAACGCAACACTATAATCTATTTTATTCTAGTTTCTGGAAAAGCGTTTTACTCATTTCATTCATTCATTTCATTTATTTGTTCATTTCCAGGCACAACAAATACCTATATTGAACATAAAATGCACAAAACAAAAAACAAAAATTGCCTGAAAAAGGAGTGGGACGAAGAAAACTTATTAAATCCCACCCCTATACTCACTCATCAACAAAAAAACAAAAAACAAAACAAAACAATAAACTTCCCGCAGCTACGCCCATTATTGCATACAGTCCCATCAACAGCCCCGGGCGCATACAAGCATCTAAACGGCAGCTCGCAAACAACAATTAGAGCCTTCATAACTGAATACAGAATATATAAATTATAAATTACATTACCACAGGTAACAGGCAGAATAACTACAAGTAACAAAACACAACATATACATACATATATATCTACACACACATGTACATATATGCACATACATACGCACACTCTTTTTTTTCTTTTTTTGAATCCATACCAGCAATGGTAAGAGAACAGACATTACAGAGCACACTAAAAAACCATCATTGAGTATACTGTGACCAGACCAACTGTTTGTAGAGAAATTTAAATCTATGAATATTTTTGCATTGTTTCAGTTGTAAACTCAGACTGTTCCAGATTTTCACACCACATACAGACACACAAAAACCTTTACGGGTTGTTCGAGTTCTGGGTAATTTGAATTCTCCAAATCCTCTACACATTATAAACCTTTTCTCGAATTTCAAATCTAGTTTGTAAATTTGCCGTATTTACTACATTTATAAATTATTAACTCTAAAAAGTCATCTTGTTTCTTTGTTTGCTTATCATAATCAGAAAATATGTATATTTACTCACTTAAGTAACTCAGTTATTGTATAATATTATTGTTAAATGTTATATTTTTATTATTTTATCATAGGTTTTTATTTTATATGCAGCAATTTATTTTATTCCAAAAATTTAGTGGTGACAGAAGAGTTTTCTCTGCCTTTGCACATCTATCTCTCCTTGAACAAGAAAAAATACATATAAAAATGCATATCCTTTCTAATATTTATTCAGTGATATTAGAAAAATATAAAATAAATAAACGTTTCAAGAAACTTTTATTTTGAAGCTGGACCGGAAACCGTTCCCCGTGTAGTCTGACCCGGGCCCGGCGTGTCCCGTCCACAGCAGGACTCTGTGTCGGTTTACTTTAAGTTTAATTTGGACCAAAGTTGCCCCGAAGCTTCGGTCCCTGTTTAGCTCGGTGGATTAGCCTCCCGGTTAGCTTAGCCCAGCTTCCCGCCGCTGCTCTCTGGACTCCAACATGGAGGACATGTACGTTAAACCCGGTGAGTTTCCTCCTCCCGGCACAGAGCGGCTCTGCCTCCATGAAGAAGGACATTAATGTTAATGAACGGCGTCGTGCCCGGTAACGATCTGCTCTCCTCTCATCGCCTATTAACAGAACACAGTGACGAACTTCATTCACAAATCTGTGAATTTAAAGTTTTTAGGACTACAGGCAGATAATAGGTTAAAATAAGTGGTAGTAGTTTATGACATCGCACAATCCATATAGGGGGTTGTGTATTACGTAACGGGTGTTGACTTGTATATCGTAGGTTATGAGGTATCCAGGGGGCAAATCCCGCTAGGGACACAGTTCGGCCATGGCCAGTACCAGTATATGTTAAACTAGGTTCGATCGCCAGCAAACAATCCAAGGTAATAAATAGAAATAGGAGGAGTGTACGACAGAATATTTGTCTGCTTCACTTTTAACGGTAACGGGCTGTTGCGACTTGTATGAGTACGTGTAAGGTTACATTTGAATTTATGTCTGATTTAAACATGCCGTTTGTAGCTGATTTCTCTATGAGTGGAGTCTTCGTGTTCAGAATGATGAACCGGAGTTTGGTTGGACTGGCTGGACACGTAAATGAGTCCGCCTGCTCAGCTGGAACAGAATCACCTGAGAGCCAGGTAGTACCGGACTGCAGTCGCGTGGTCAGCTGACTCCGAAGGGAGTCTGTGTTTATCTAACATCAGAGACACCGCGCGTGGAAAGAAAGACGCGACGAACCTCATTCAAAAACCTGTTAGTTTTACATTTCGCGGAAGCTTCAGCCAGCTCACACACACCTGACACCTGTAAATGTTAGTGTTTCTTAATCCTGAGTGTATTTAGGTTCGGCTCACGAGTCATGCACCAGATGATCATCATCCAGGTGCAAACAGGAGTTTCATTTGATGTTTCCACAAACTGAAAGTCCTGATCAGGTTATAGCGGAAATCACGTGATCAGTGACGGCTCGATAAACGACCTGACTGACCTCCTTATGTTTACACACACGTGGACAACGTTAGTGTTGCTGTTTTTAGATTACAGAGCTGCTTTCATTGATCAGTTATTGATTACGAGGCATCAGATGGTGTGTTTCTGTCTGACCGATGAGGGTCATTGATCACATGAACAGCTTCAGCCATCTGTCACAGGGCAAACTGGGGTATTGATCCCAGTGTGCTTTAAATTAGAGGATGGATCATGTGACCAGTGAGGGGATCAATAATCAGTCACATCTGAGTCACAGTAATGAATCTCCACAATCCACCTCCTGCGTGATGTGAGTCATGTGAGTTTGTGTTGTCCCTGAACCTCACACCATCTCACCTTTACCTGAAACGTCCCAGGTGGAAGGACCACGTCTTTATCTGAATTCTGCAGACTGTCAGGTCCCTGCTGTCAGTAGTGTTCTCAAAAATAGAAACGCTCTTCGCTGTTGTTCAGACTCCATTTTTAATTCCATTAAGTAGAAAATCGGGGCGATCGTGGCTCAAGAGTTGGGAGTTCGTCTTGTAATCGGAAGGTTGCCGGTTCGAGCCCCGGCTCCGACAGTCTCGGTCGTTGTGTCCTTGGGCAAGACACTTCACCCGTTGCCTACTGGTGGTGGTAGGACAGTGAAGGTAAGCTCAGAATCGAAAAAAGAAGGTGGCGCCAGTGTCCGGACAGGCCTCGCCATCTGTTCAGTCTGCCCAGGGTGGATATTACACAAAATCACGATTGGTCTGTGGGCTACAATGTAGCTGCCATCACCAGGTGTGTGTGTGGAGTGACTTGGATGTGATAAAAGCGGCTTCTGGAGAGGTCCTGTTAGGTAACGAGTCATGAAGCGCATATACAATATACAAGGCCATTAATACACAACTAATTCAATTGTGAGCTGCGGCCTTTCATGGTGTTATCAGGAAAGCATTGTTTACGGGCAAGCAGATGGAGCAGAACCGGTGACTGCGTGCATGTCCTACTTACTGAAGGAACATTTAGAAAGCTAGGTTCTCCAAAACTTCCACAACTCTTGAGCATGGTATCCAGGAAGCGGTGGCTGGCAACGACCCCCCTCATGTTCTCCTATGGCTTCCAGACGGCCCACGGAACCACGAGAGGTACCGTCCATCTAACCGAAGAGACCGGCCTACCAGCGCTGACACATCAGGAAATAAAACGAACAAAAGTATGTTTGACTGTGATCGACTCGATAATGAATACGGCTACTTATTGGGAGCCGTGTATTTTTTTCTTTCCTCCAGCTTTTTTGTCGCTTCACGCCGCACGTGAAGCCCGTGTATGTGTGTTGAGCTGGGAGGGTGGGTGTAGGGGCTGAGCAGTTTACACTGCAGTACACAGGAACAGAGCGGGAGGGAGAGTGAGAGCCGGGGGCAACAACAGACAACATGGTGACATTAGAAAGGTAGAAAAGAAGCAACATCTGGACCCATTTCAGCTTTACTGACAACACAAAGGCAGAGTGTGAGTCTGCAAGAAGACGCTGTCGCACAGAGCTGCACAAACAACCTGCACAGGCTCCTGACAACTGTCCACCCATCAGTGCAGGGGGAGATCAAACACAGTCTGCTGAGTGTGATATTAATGAAGGTGCCAGTGTGTCTGCTGCAGCATCTGCAGCATCGTGCAGTGCACCACCACAACCCTGAACCAACCCAGAGCTCTGAGAGCGTTTGCAGAAGTCTGACCCAGCAAGACACGACTCAGCTGATAAAGACCTGCAGACATGACCGCACTTGATTTCCAACTATTTTCAGTTGCTGATGTTAAAGGATTCAGAAAGTTTGTTCACTGAATCCTGTGAATGCACTTCCAAACAATCCTGCCTGCATGACGGAGAACGTGCGTCTGCGCTTTGTTTTGCATATTTTCATTTATATTGCTTTGTGTTGTGGTCTGCAGTGTTTTGTGTTGTTAAGTAGTTAATAGCAGAATTGTAAATAGTTGGTTTTTGTATTTTATAATTTATGTTTTACATTTTATGGAGTGAATCAGTATTTCATTTTGTCCATAATTTTATGTTGTTGTTGATAATAAATTGATTCAAGCAATAAAACAAACAGTCAGCTGATCCACCTGCTGCTAAGAACTACAACAGATACTTAATAATGACCTTCACCTATAGGTGCAGGAGCCCCACCTGCAGCCCCTCCCTCCTCCAACCCTCTCGCACCACCTCCCTGTGCTGTAGCTCCGCCTCTACTCAACCCAGGTAAGAAAGGTTTCTAATGAGATGTGGTGAGTTTACACCTGACAGCTGAGACATTTATTGTTTGGTTTCTCCCAGCTGGACCTCCACCTGGTGCTGTGGCCACGCCCCCTCCTCCTCATCTGGGGCAAATGAGGACTAAGAGAGAGGCTGCGATCAGCCAATCAGAGAGTGAGCCTGAAGTTGAGGGCGTGATGTCGGTGCTGAACGGAGCGCTCGCTGCCTGCAGACGCGCTGTGAAAGTGAGTTCAAAATGACGTCATTCAGGGGTAAAACCGCAAAGGATTCTGGGAACTCGTGGCAAGAGGTACTAGCGCACGCAGGCTTTCCAGACATAGCTAGAAAACTGCCACCGCAGGTTCTGAAAACAGACACAGCGATGAAAAAGAAACACAAAAATGTCAAGAACTTGTGTATTATTAACTGCTTAATAAACACAAGCAAACAGCGTAACGCATAGACAGCCACGAGGAAGTCCGCACGGGTAAAGAGATCGGTTGTGTATCGTGATCTACGTCGTGAAGAGAAAATTGTTCGAGCCTATAGTTTCCGATAAGTAACAAAGAGCCACGGGGATGGCCTGGATTGCAGCCCATTCATAAGACCAAATATCAACCTCGTCCCGCTATGAACACTCCAGCTGCACAAGGAAGTTAGGTCTGTGTTGTAAGCAAGTACTTTGAAGAAGGACAAAGACATGTCGGGCAGATAAAAACCCAATTTTGTGCGTTAAGAAATATGCAATACAAGTGATATAGCCCAAGCTGCCTAATAAGCACAAACCAAGGCAAATGTTATACCAAACAACAAAACTCATCCAGATTTTGTTCTTCAAACAATATATATGTAAATCTGTTTTTGAAATCTAATCAACAAAATATATTTTAGAAAATTAAACCTGATTTTGTCGCCTATCTCAGGAAATTCACTCCGGTAGTTAATGCCGTCATTTCACTCCCAACATAAATTGGTGATATACGTGTTACAAGCAAGTCTGGCGCTGAACAGAAATTGTGCGCGCTATGCTCCTTTATTTATTGTGCATAAATAGTGAATTGTCTAACACAATATTGTGTTTCGCTTCTGATTATTATGGTACACTGACCAAAACACATATACTTATATCACAGGGATGAAAACAAGTTGTATTGTGTAATTCACTATATTAGACCCCCAAGTAACGATTACAGCGAATACCAACAAGTAATTATTGTTCGACAATCGCTACATCTGTAATGGCGAACCAGAAATTATTCATCCACTAACTAATTACAATTACCGGTTGAGACTCAAAGGTACCTATTAATAAACGGTTAACGATCATGTGTATTTATCAGCCGCACGATCTTGTGAGACTGGTATAACCTTACCTTGTTCGTACGATGGCTTCTCTTGGCGTTCTACACGGTCATTTTCAACAGGTCCTGCACCCATCCGCTCGGTAAACATGTACCTGGGCTTGTTGCCAGTGACCTGAAGTACATAAACTTCAACGAGTGTATTGGCCTCACTCCACAGAACCGCTATAATTATAAATATGAGCGTGGTGAAAGTTGGGCAGCACGCTGACGTCTTTTGTCCCTCTGTGTGCTCGTGAGGGTCTGACCCTTTCACTCCTTTGATTTTGTCCTCGTATCTTTTCTTTGACTTTTCATCAAGTCTGTCTTTGTACGGACCGGCATTGTTCTCCTTCGTTTTGTACAGAACTTTTTTGGGGGCAAAGAAAACGCAAGAAGGTTTTGGAACCAGAGAATGAACGTTTTGCGGTGCTGCAAATGCTTGCGTTTGATGCATTGCTTTGATTGTTTTGCCACGAGTACCCGTCATGCAATGCGCGAAAGTCACGTGGTCTGTCAATCTCTATATATTACATCAGCAGGGGGCGCCACCACGTTGCAGTGAATGTTACTGTAGCACAAAGTGACCTTTGACCCTGAGCTGAAACTTTGGCTGTGTCCCAATTCAGGGTCTGCAGCCTTAACGGTCCTCAAGGGCCGCCCACTCAAAGACCGCTAAGGCCGGAAGTGCGAGGCTTGTGAAACAGGACGGTCTAGCCTCCGTCGCGCTGCCCAGGTTGCCTAGCAACCATGATACTAACTGGAAACGTTTCACACAGCTTTGTTTGACAGAGATGAAGGAGAACGTGTTTTGTTCGTTTGTTTCTACACGAGCTTTGTGTGGTTTAATGAGGCTGAGACCACACGACTGTCAAACATGATTCCTGTGCTGAACAGTCGTTTAAGATTAGCTAGTAATTAACAATTAGCTGATGTTGTTCATGAGACTAAAGTCATCTCACTGTGGTAATGTAAATATAATATGGCCAATATTATAGTTATTATATTAATCATTATTAGTTATTACAGCAGTGAGCTTGAACTCTGGGTCAAAGATTCAAGTTGCATTTATTTATTTGTCCTGTCACCTTAAATCTTCACTCAAAGAGAAGTACCTGTGACAGTCTATATACAGATGTTTTATATATAAGAGACAAATGTTGTTCTGTCTACATCGCCACATCCTTGAAATTCAGGGCAATGAAGGACGTGTTTGAGGCTGCATTTCGAGCAGCCTTTGAATTGGGACAGCCTTCGTCGCTGTGACGTAATCGTCCTTAAAATGCGGCCTTTAAGGCTGCAGACGCTGAGTTGGGACACAGCCATTATCTTCATCAGAGAAATAACCAGATATTTCAAATCACCTCTGAGCGTCACAGTCTCACCTGCAGTACCAGGTTGGGCCACCGAGAGGCCAACGAGTCATTTCCTTTTCTGTTAACACAAAAATGTGTTTAACTCAGAGCGACCTTTGACCTGTGTGCAGGCTCAGGTGTGTAATGAAGTGGCAAAGCGCCTTCACCTGATGGAGGACAGCTGGAGGTCGGGTAGACTGAGCCTGCCTGTCAGGAGGCGCATGGACACCCTGTCTGCAGGTAAGGTGTCTCACTGCACACCTGTGTGATCGCACACCTGTGTGATCACTCGTCTGTTTGTCTCTCAGAGTTACAGAAGGGTCGCTGGGACGCGGCTGATGACATCCATCGCTCTCTTATGGTTGACCATGTGACTGAGGTTAGCCAATGGATGGTTGGTGTCAAACGACTAATTGCTGAAACCCGAAATCTGAGTCCAGAACTGCTAGAACCACTTCAGAAAGTGAGAGGGCTGGTCGAGGACTCCGCAGAACCTGTCCGAGAACCGGTCAAGGAACCTGGAGAACTCCAGCAGTCTTTACAACTAGTCCAGAAGGAGGAACAACCAGACTCAGCAGAACCAGCCCAGGACCTCGTAGAACCAGTCCAGAACCCCGTAGAACCAGTCCAGGACCCCGTAGAACCAGTCCAGGACCCCGTAGAACCAGTCCAGGACCCCGTCTCTGAGTCCTAACTGTCCAGGACTCCTCTCTTGACAAACTCTGGCGCTTTCACCAGGATTTGCTGCTTTAATTCTCACCATCATGTACTTAAAACAGTCTGGACTTTGGCCACTCCCAGCGGCTAAGCCTGGTAATCTTGGTATCTTGGGATTTTGAACTTAATCTTCCTGGACTGTATTGGGAACTTTGGACCGTAAACAAAGTCGCCCCTGATTCTGCTGCTGAAGCTCCTCCCCCCACTGTAGCACCCTGCCATGGTTTTGTTTCTCTGGCATCTTTCTGGGCTGGCTAGTCCAGCCCAGTGAAACCTGGTTTCAGGATGAGTGTTTGGTCCTGATCAGGTGGATCCTGTTTCTGTCTGATGTGAGAATAAATCTGGTTTCTGTCCTCGATTTGTGTCCGCCTCTTTAATGCTCAATGACTGACTGTTTCCTGATCCAGAACCACCGACATCGGGTATAAAAGTGTCATTAGTTTCTAAGTTTAGGACTGAGCTCAGTCACCCACCTGTGGAGGTCCTCGGTCACCTGGGTCATGGTGAGACTACCTGAGGTAGGTTCTTGAAGATATTTAACCCGTCCTCTGAAAGGCTTCTTCAGTTAGGTTACAGAACGCTGTGATGATCACAGCCTTATTTTATCTGTGTGACATTGTGATGGTCCGAGCAGCGAAGGAAACTTAGCCACAGGTTAAAGTCCAAAAACAAGAGATTTTTTATTAAACCCCAAAACATCATAGTTCAATCCTGCAAAAAGATTCAAAATGTTGGGCCCATAAATAATAATCAGCTAATCAGCCCACAAAAAGGGGTAAAACACACAAAACCCAACTGAAACTAACATCATGAACTCCGATCCCCCCCATGGTCCTGAGTTATGGAATGAGCCAATCTGCAGTTTTCCATCAAGGCTTGCTCCGCCCCTTTTCCACCTCTTGGCTCCTCAATCAAGGGACTGGAGCAGCTGCAACTAAGGTAACTCAGAAAACAAAGATTAATCATACATAACAGTGTAAACTGAAATGTGCGCACTTATTTTAGAATGCAGTGTTATGTGGATACGTGAATGAACTCTAAATCAAAACCAGTTCTTCATTGTCCTGTAAATTAATTCTTATATTTAAAGAAAGACAGATGTGAATGCAACGTTATGTATAAGCCTCAGCACTAATATGCTGATATTACCCCTGTGTGGCTGTGAGTGCAGCCATCACACACACGTTCCTCTGATAACGGCTGTGACGGGGGGAGGCGGAGCTCAGTCGATCCCCTTGATGTGAGCGCGCT